TTGCTTCATCACACCTGGGCAATCTTGCAGGAAATCAATGACGAAGCGTCGAACTTCCGGTGCCCAATCAAGCCCGAGAGGGCCAACCGCATCTTACTTGAGCTCGATACGATGCGACGACGGTACCCTATAAGTCTGGTGTTCCGCTTGACCGAATCACACGAGCTGGAACGAGGTCGGCTGCTGGGGAACTGTGACTGGGCAGTCGGAAACTTTTATGCCGCCCGCATCTACCTCTTCCGGTGCAGTCTCAGCAAGAAGGATCATGACCTCGATTCGGGAGCAGGGAGTACCATTGCCCAAACGGTAACGGATCTGATAGGCTTGCTTCAGCGAACGCTCAGGTCTGGCGACAATTACCAAGTCGACCGTATGCAATTCGCTCTCTTCTGGGCCGGCGTTGAGAGTCCTGTGCGGGGAGCAACGGGGAAGTGGATTCGGTCTAAGCTGTGGCGGCGCGGGCTTGCGCAACCTCTCCAGACCATCATGTTGGAGCAATTGGAATTGGGGAAGAGGGCCACAATCGAGAGGATCCGGCAAGTTTGCATCGAGGTGCGCGGAGACGATGCAACCTGAGTTGGCCGCTGCTGGAGTTTACTGGTCGAATGCCAAGGCATAGCAACCCCCTTTCTGGCTGTCCTGGTTCCACGGCACAAGGGGGAGCTGGGCCGTCCCACGCTAAAATTCTCTGCCGATTGGTTGGATTTAGCGATTATTTGCTGGGCAAGACAGCCAGTCGGGCTGCCCCAAGTGACGTTATGTGGGGTGCGGGGCAGCGTCAGTTCTGACGAACTGCTCGAAGAGCACTCACTCTGATTCGTCTGGACGATACACCTTCCAGCATTGTTCGCGAAGAAAACGTGGGTTTCACCGACCGGTCTTGCTGGCTGCGGTTGGTCGTTCCGCGGGTTGTCTTGAGTGCTCCAGGCGAGCTGGAGAGAAAGGAGGCAAGTGACGAGTATAAAGTCTTGAGCTTGGGCACCACACTCAAACCGTTACAACACACAACAGCCTTTTCAGATTTTACGATACTTTGCATTCAACATGGCGGCCGAGTGGATTGAGTTCATCCAAAGCGAGATCACCGCTCGTATCCCCAACATCGCCTACGTCAACCGCGAAATCCACTCCAACCCTGAGCTCGCCTACGAAGAACACAAGGCCCACGATACGTTTCTCGCCGCCCTCCTTAAACTCCAGGAGTTCCACGGAGCTAGAGTTCGGGCCCACGCCTACGGTCTCCCTACCTCCTTCGAGGCCGAGTTCGGCACCAGCGGCCCTCTGATCATCTACAATGCCGAATACGATGCTCTCCCTGGCATAGGTCATGCTTGTGGGCATAATCTTATCGCCTCAGCATCGCTTGCCGCATTCCTGGGTGTCGCCGCAGCACTCAAGGCCTCGGGTCTCCCAGGCCGCGTCCGTCTCCTCGGAACCCCAGCTGAAGAGGGCGGCGGCGGCAAGCTCAAACTCATTGAGCAAGGTGCCTATTCCGGTGCTGATGCCAGCTTGATGGTTCACCCAGGTCCGGGTCACAAGCTTCCCCCTGGTATCACGGGTGTTTCGTATGTCCGGATGCTGGCCAACATCAAGATGCAGATCCACTTCACCGGCAAGGAATCCCACGCCGCCATTGCACCGTGGGATGGCGTCAACGCCCTCGACGCCGTGTGTCTCTCGTACAACGCCATTAGCATGCTTCGCCAGCAGATCAAGCCCTACGAGCGCATCCACGGCGTGTTCCGCTCGGCAGGAGACAGGCCCAATGTCACGCCGGCGCGCTGCACGGTCGAGTACTACGTGCGCAGCGAGACCAAGGCCCAGGCTCAGGCGTTATGGGAGCGAGTGAAGAAGTGTTTTGAGGGGGCAGCATTGGCAACGGGATGCGGGATGGAAATCGAGCCGCTAAACTCGTATGCAGATGTGAGGTCCAGCAAGATGCTTTGCCAGGCCTACGTCGATGCGATGCCAGAGGGTGAAGTGGCGTTCAATGAGCCGGCAGACATTTTGGCTGGGAGTACGGATATGGGCGATGTATGCTATGAGTGCCCAGGATTTCATGGCGTGTTTGGCATTGGGACGCAGGAGGGCGAGGCGAATCATACCCATGGGTTTGCGAGAGCCGCTGGGACGGAGGAGGCTTTCCAGCGGGCGTTGGAGTGCGGGAGGGCCATGGCTGTCGTGGGCTGGCGGATCTTGACGGAGCCGGGGTTCAAGGAGAGAGTGAGGAGCGAATGGGAGGAGGATATGCAGCTGGCGGCGGAGGGAAAGTGAACTGTTTCTTGTCGCTATCAAGCGGAGTATACAAGGGTTAGGGTTGACTTAGCGCATCGAGAAGCTCCAGGAGGTTTTTAGAGTCCTTGGCTTGTCAGCCCGATTTCGGGAGCGCGCGTGTTCGGTGCCACGCTCGAGTGGTATCATCAGCGAGAGAGCTTAAACATGCTCCTTTTACCATCAGTCAATGCGTTTTTCACTGAGTTTTGTCTCATCGAAAAGAAAAGGAGAAAAATGACATCCCGTCCAAGGAAAGCCCAGCCTTGCCAATGGTCTCCCTGGCCCACAGCCCCATGACCAGCCAATGACAGCACCAGCCCGCTGCGCCGGTACGTACCGCCTCGTGCTGGGCTGGTCCATCCGAGATGAACACGACGGCAAAAAAAGCGTGTCGTCAAAGGGGGTTCGGTCCCATCGCATCGACACCTTTCCGAAGACGCCGAACGGATTTTTTTTTTCTTCGATCTTCCGATCGCGTACCTGGTATTATAGACGATCGACGACAGGCAGGCATTCAATTGCGCTGTGCAGTCCCCTCCCTCCAACTGTCCTACTTTCCACGAGTTCCCGATTGAATCGAATCGACTCGCCCGCCCCCCTGTTCGTCCCATCATCCTGGGTTCATCGTCCGACAAAAGTCTCACGGTTTTTTTTTTTTGCTTCCCACGAGGGAGAGGCGTCACGTTTGACAGAATGGCTCCTCCGCGCTTCGGAGTCGGAGCGGGCGGAGGATTCGTTCTCCTCGCGACAGCCCTAGGACTGTTTGCAACCGTGGCGACGGCGCACGATCACGACGAAGGGAATATCCCCGAGGGCGAAGCGGTTTCGATGGATCCGATTGATTCGACACTGTGGGCGCACATTTTTTTGCAGATGTTTGTGTTTGGGATTTTGTTCCCTGTGGGCATGGTTCTTGGGGTGAGTTTTTCCTTTTGTTTTCGTCCTGGGATGGGGAGTGGGAAAGATAATAAGGGGAGAGGGGAGGGAAGAGAAGATGGACAAGGGACGACAGGTGGAAAAGAGGAAAAACAAAGAGCTGACTTTGGTAACAAACAGATTGTCAAAAACCGATGGCATGTCCCCGTTCAGGTCCTCGCCACGGCGCTTGCGCTCCTGGGCTACGCCCTTGGTCACCTCCATGGCGGACGCAAGTTTGTCCATTCGAATGTGCACGCCAAGTTTGCGACGCCGCTCTTCTTCCTGATGGTTGCGCAGGTGGTGCTGGGGATCTACCTCAAGCTGCATCTGGAGAGGGGGATACACGGACGGATTCGACCAGTGGTGAAGATGCTGCATGGGATCAACGGCAAGGCATTCCCATTGATCTCGTGGGTGCAGATGCTGTTTGGCGGGATCACGGCGCTGGGATTCTGTCAGGGCGACCATCTGGGGCAGTGTTTGGCGCATTTCATCATGGGCAGCGCCTTCATTGCCTATGGTATTTTGTTGACCATCCTGCTGCTGGTTGGGCAGCTCTGGCTGCGCAGGACGGGCAGGAGCCAGGAGTTCTTTGACAGTGTGGTTATCGCCGCGTGGGGATGCGTCAACACGTTCACCGAACACCGCTGGGGCACCGCCTGGGTCAGGAATGACTGGCAACATACGACCATGGGTATTATTTGGTGGTGCGCTGGCCTCGCTGGTATCTGGCTCAGTCGTGGGAGGGACGGTTCGCCCAGGCGCAACTTCATCCCCGGATTTGTCATTGGCATTACGGGCTGGGCCATGTCGGCGCATCCGCAGGACTTGATGATCAGCGCCATGACGCATAAGGTCTTTGGCTATACGCTCATGGCAGTGGGTGTTACTCGCGTCATTGAGATTTCGTTTGTCTTGCATGATAAGCCGGGCATGTCGGAAGACGGCACCGAGTCCCACAGCTTCCAATATGTCCCTATTTTCGTAAGTTGTCTTGGGAACCCCCGTTTAGGCGGATCTAACGGCATCATAGCTTCTCTACGCCGCCGGCTTCCTGTTCATGGGCGCAACCGAGGAACAGATGAATCTTGTCGCACACTCAGGCATGGATGCCGTCGCCTACGTCCTCATCCTCTACAGCCTCGCCTTCCTCCTGTTCCTCTTTGTCAACATGCTCATCTATCTCTACGAGCGCAACGCCAACCCCGCTGCCTTCAAGACGGCTGCCAACGGGCATGCGCGCTCAGGCCAGCGAGACGAGGATGGGCAGCTCCGTGATGCTGGCGAGTTTGAGCTCGACGGGCTGATGACTGATGATGAGGATGATGAGCATGCTGCAAGAAGAAAGCTGTTGAGGACTGATGGGACAGACAGCCCGAGTGGAGCGGGGAGAAGCGCATAGAGTGTATTGGTATCTGCATCAGGCATGGAGTTGGCGGTGTATTTTGGTACAAGGGTAGTTATATCGGCATCGCCCTTGAATGTATAGGAAGCCATTGGTTCAAAAGTGGTCAAACTGTGCATGTTGTTGCGGCGTCCAGTGCGAGGTTCTGCTCAAACCACCGTGCCCACTCCAATCTCCCCGCTCGAGTCATTGTGCCACCTGCCCCGCCCCTCACGACAGCCTCACATTCTTCATGGAGGGCAATCACCGCAGCCATCATCGATCGCTCCGCACAACTACCAAAGCAAGGTGATCCGGGTGCATTTTAGAACCGAGACCAAAGAATTACACGAAAGGAGGTATCGTGCGTCTTCTCAGCGGTGCAAAAAGATACATCTTTACAAATGCATCAGAACATCAAAAACGTCACCTACAGGATTCGAACCTGTGCTCCCGAGGGAACTGCCTAGCATGCTATCCCGAGGAGGAATTAGCAGGGCAGCGCGTTAACCACTCCGCCAAAGTGACTAATGCTTGTTTGATGGTGGAATGGTGCAGTGTTTCGGCATATGGCATTCGTTGGGAAGAGATAGCCGAGGGGATGCGGGGGGCTTGTTTGGGTTTTTGGGGGACCCGACAGGAGGTGGGTCCCCCTTTCGTGAGCTGGAGCTTGTTGGGATTAAGGGTGAGCGCTCTTTGGGCTTTGGAGGAGATTAGTACTAAAGAAAACGAGGGGAAGACTGCAAGGTGTTCTGTCATTTCTTTCGGGTTGTTGTCGTCAAACGGCTTCTGTTTGGAATAGGAATCAGGAGGCAGGGAGCAGCTCGTCCCCACCACTGCCCGCAAACACCTTGACGGTCTCACCCCACTCCTGGCCTCGACAACGACGGGATGACAACACCCAAATAGTCGCGTTTTGTGACAGACACTAATGTCTGGGTTTGATCTCTCTTCATGTCTCGCATTATGGCGAGAAAACAAGAGCAAATGCAGTATTCGCCTAATCGTTGCAACTGGCAGGGGGACAAAACGCCCTCATCACCCCGTTGCACTTGCAAGTTGCAACCCAAGCAGTGGAGCTGTCCTTCATCTTCTGGAGCCACCGACGCCGCTGATATTCGGATTTTTTTTTTTCTTGCATCGGACTCTCCTTATTTCTTCCGGATCTCATTCTTTCTGCCCGGCTGCTTGCATCACTCTTTTTCCTAACACTCACCCTACTCCAAGCTCCTTTCGAGCTCTGCCCTTTCTCCTTACGGGAGCCCGGCTCGTGTCATGTTCCGGCGGCATCCTCAATTACCTTGTATATACCAAAAATAGTGGACCAAAGAGTCATAAACCTGGGATTCGTCTGTTCATCCTCCACAATTACCCGCTCAGGCTTTGGCAGCTCCATCTATACCAGACGTCGATATACAGACCGAGATATTACCCCACATTTGAGAACAGTATTGACAGATCCGATGCATACATACGTAGCTTTAGTGAGCCTTCACACGGTATGTCTTCAGGTTCATCAAGCTTCAACCAAGCTCATCATCCAATGCCCTCATGGAATCCTTCGAATCCGGCATTCGTCACCTCTACCATGACGAGAAACGGATGATCGGCACTTGGGTCTCCCGTACTGACCTCATTTTGCGTCTCGACATATTACAGCAGACTGCCGGCCCTCGGATGTGCGACGTCGTCCGGTCGGGAAGGGCATGCTACCGTTTTGTCGTGACGAACGGAGAATATGACCCAATGGGAGATTATGGGGATTTCCGGCATCCAACCAGATGGCCAGCAAAAAGTGTCGACTTAATATGGGGAGGAGTTTAATCCAACATGGTGTCGGGACGCCGGGTATATGGACGGCTAGCAGACACCGCACCACTGATTGGAGGGCTGAAAGCACGGAAGAAGGTCCTGGGCAGAGAACACAAAGTGACAGCGCCGATCCTGCCCATTTCGTTCCCCTCGATACTCTGTTCCTCGGCCGTGGGAGATGGGGTCATGGTGGTGGTGAGGTCGCCACAGCGGTCCTTTTCCCCATCTGGGGGGTAACAGGCTGATTGGGAGGACCACGAGAGCAATCTCCATATTGTCTGCATTTGCAAGACCGGTCTCTGGGGCAGACATGCCAGTGTATCCCCCCACCACGACCCCAGATATTGCAAATATAGCACATCATCGAGAACCGCCTCCCAGGTTTTCCTACCTATATAGAATCTCTCTCCCCTGCATCCCGCCCCGACAGCCAACCCCGAACCTGGTCTCCCCACAACCGCACGCAAACCGGGCTACACACAACAACAACTCCACCATGGAAAAGGCAAAGCCAAGGCCCTCCGTGGGCCAGGTCTTGGCCCTCTTCCTCCTTTTTGTCGTTTCCGTCTTAGCAGACTGCACCTGCACGGGCCTCGACTACACGAACGGCGGCTCCTACCTCGTCGACGGCACCAACACGGCAGACTTCACCTTCACGTCCGTCTTCCAATCATGCGGCCCCGACACGGTCGAACCCATCCTCCTCGACCCGACCGGCGTCGGCTACCTCTGCACCGAGATATCCATGGAAGCCTCGGGCGAGCAGCAGCAGTCCTCATGCGAGATCCCCTACTCCCGAATGATCTCGGGCAAATGGTCCATCATCATCCAAGCCGACGCGACCGATTTCCAGGTCATTCGCGAGTTTACTTTGACAGTCCAAGCCCTTGAGAAAGCAACAGTCACCGCGACTCCCACCGTCGTTGTTGGTGTTACATCGACGTTGCCAGCTGTCGTGGTGGAAACGACGCTGTACCAGACGTCCACGTACCTAGGCAAGGCGCCAGTGGTGTCGGTGCAGTGTGGATATGATCGGGACACGACGTTTACGCTCACGCAGTGGCTTGCGCCGCCTAGGACGACGGTTTGGACGACGGTGGAACGGACTAGGACCGAGGGCAGTGTCACCAGTGTGTACGTGACTACGGTCGGGTTGAGCGCGTATTGTCATTGGCCGCAGGGGCAGGGGGCTCGGCCGCCGACTGTTGATCGGCCTGCGCCGGCGCCGAGTACACCGAAGCCGAGTGGGTGTGGGGATTGTAGGCCTTGGTTTAGTAGTGGTGGGGGGTGGAATTGGGGGACGGGGAGGGGGAGGGGGAATGGGAATGGGAATGGTGGTGGCAATGGCGGCGGGAATGGTGGTGGCGGGAAGGGAGGCGGCGGCGGTGGTGGAGGAGGGCCTGGGAATGGTAAAGGTGGAGGTGGTGGCGGCGGCGGTGGTGGTCCCGGTAATGGGAAGGGAGGAGGTGGAGGTGGAGGAGGAGGTGGTCCTGGCAATGGGAAGGGAGGAGGTGGAGGTGGAGGTAGTGGTGGTCCTGGCAACGGGAAGGGCGGTGGAGGAGGTGGGGGAGGAGGACCTGGAAATGGAAAAGGGGGCGGCGGCGGAGGCGGAGGCGGAGGCGGTCCAGGTAACGGAAAGGGAGGTGGTGGTGGTGGCGGCGGCGGCGGCCCTGGCAATGGCAATGGCAAGGGCGGAGGCGGAGGAGGAGGAGGCGGTGGTGGGAAGAGTGGAGGTGGAGGTGGTGGGAAGAGCGGTGGTGGGGGAGGCGGAGGAGGGAAGAATGGCGGCGGCGGTGGAGGAAATGGGGGTGGAAAAGGGGGAGGTGGTGGAGGAGGTAAGAGTGGTGGAGGCGGCGGGGGAGGCGGGAAATCTGGGGGAGGTGGAGGTGGTGGCGGTAAGAGCGGAGGTATGTAGTCTCAGTCCCGTCGATGAGTCTCGTGCTAACGTTGTCGCAGGCGGTGGTGGCCGTGGTAGGTTCCAGTGACGCTTGTCTCAATGTCTCTGCTGACTTGGTGGCTAGGAGGCGGTGGAGGTGGTGGAGGTGGTGGAGGAGGAGGTATGTTTCTCATTTTCTGCCGATGCGTTGTTGACGACTAACGGTTTCTAGGCGGAGGCGGAGGCGGCCGCGGAGGGGGTGGTGGTGGTTCAGGGGGAGGAGGTCGAGGAGGCGGTAGTATGTCATCTTCAACAAGCCTGACTGCTCATCGGCTAACATTCTTAGGCGGTGGTGGGGGCAACCGAGGAGGGGGTGGTGGAGGTGGCGGTGGCGGTGGTGGAAATAGAGGCGGTGGAGGTGGGGGAAATAGGGGTGGTGGTGGAGGTGGGGGAGGAGGTGGTGGAGGGAGAGGTATGCGACGGCCCCATTCTTGCTTCAAGACATAACACTAACTGCTCTAAGGTGGTGGTAGCGGCGGCGGCGGCGGCGGCGGTGGTGGAGGCAGAGGTAGTGCTAGAGACCCCATCACCAAGCACGAGCTGACTGTATTAGGCGGAGGACGAGGAGGCCGACAGAACCCCTCGAGTAAGAGACTTGCCAAAGACATGAGACAAAGCGCTGACTTAAACCTCGTAGATGATGCTCCCATCGAAGAGAGAGGCATTGTCCGAGTCGCGGCCATCACCACGACCATCCTTCAAACGACGTACACTGTTACCCAGACCACCACCAAGATCGTCCCTGCCCGAACTGCTATTGAGACTGGTGAGTTGACAAACTCACTACATATTGCTCCTGTGCTAACTCTTTCCTCAGTCTACGACGTCGTCACTCGCACTTTGTAAGTCACCCATCCAGCCCCTGACTCAAGGTGCGACCATCGCTGACACCAAACCCAGCATCCCGCCCGCTCAGACCGTTTGCAACGAGCCCGATATTCCCACCATCACTGTTTTTAGGGCTGAGCCGACGCAGACGATTTACAATGTGCAATATGTCACTCTGAGAACCCAAGTGACTGTGTGGGTTGGGTAAGTCATGACAGGATCGCTCGGCAGTTATGCTGGGACTGACAACACGCAGGCAAACGCAGTATGAAACGTATTCCAACTACCAATCGGCAACAGCGTGTTGGGCGAATGGGGGCTACTACGGAGTTTGAAGTGTTTGGGTCACGGAATGATGGTGACAACGTTTGACGAGCTCAGTTGGGAGATCCTGAAGGGTTGTTGTAATGTGTACTGTTTAGCGCCGTCCCGGAAGTAAAAAAAAAAACCATGTCGATTATTCCCTCATTGCGGTCTCCCACACAATCTCCAGGCCCATGGCATCCGATATCTTTCGTACCCAATCTTTCCTGATCATAACCCAATCTTCTTTCGTTTCGACAGGGACTTGCGATGGATCCGCCTCCATCTCGGCGAGATAGTCTTGATACTGGTTGAACAGTTCTTGTGGGCTTTCCCTGCTGTCCAGGCGGTCGTAGTGTGGAGTCAACTGGGCTTCTTGTTGACATGTCCGCTTAATTTCGTAGCCAGTGAGAAACTGGTCGTTGTCGGTATCGACCACGAGCTTGACGTCTTGAATATTATCGCATCGTACGCCGAACTGGACAGTATTAGGATTGATAGCTTGTGTGGCTTGCGGGTCATAATGATAAGGGCCACTTACGCTTTCTAAGCGGTTTCGAATCAGGCGCTTCTCCTTCTCTTTCTCCTTCTTGTATTCAGTTATAGTAGCCGTTCTCTCAGCCTCATACGTCTGCATTTCTTGCGACAT